GGAGACACTTGGAGACGAGGAGACACTAGGAGGGACACAGGAGGTAAGTAATGCACAAAGTATTTAATGGTAATCAGTAGCAAAGTCATTGAGTCCTCTACGTGTAAACAAGACCGGATAGTGAGGGTGCCTGAGGTGTGTGCTTTTATGCAGGCTGGAATTGAGGTGCTTGATTGGTGACAGGTGCGGGTGCTTAGAACTCAGGTGAGAGGGATCGTTGTGATTGGGTGGTGGCGGAGCTTGGCCGATCTGTTACATTAAAGAACTGAAAAGATACTTTAAAAATGAAACTAAAACTGCCAGCAGGCTGCGACAAGTCACTGATTTTTATCACTAAATCATTCATTCAATTGATTCATTCGAACGGCTGATTCATTCAGGAATGACGCAAGTGACAGTATTTATGAATGGGTAATCATGAATCACTGACTCACTAGATTAATTTAAAAATGCAGTTAAGTCATAAACGAGACACCGCTGTGTTTGAATTGAGATGTGTAGCGGCTGAGCTGTGACTTTGTTTCAAACTATTTTCGACGACGAAATAGAGCAAAATCAGACAATAGTGTTATAGTCAGACAATGTAAGTCACTTAATATTAACTTTTTGTCTACTGAACTGTTGTATTAAATCAGTATCACATTTACAAACTCCTTTAAAACTCATTAAAAGCTGTCTCTCATCTTAGCTCATCGCAATCTCATCTTTGAAATATAAGTTGAAATATAAAACCATGGTGTGAGCGCTCTTCACACAGCATGAGTCCCTGTCAAAAAGGTGTGTCATTCGACATGATGGGTGTGGGGCTGCTTAGAAGCGTCAGATATGGGTGATATGGAAGCAACCTCTAATGTTATGCTCGGTTTAAAATGCACAATAGGTTATTCTGTGTGCGTCCCCATCCAGGACGCCTTCGGGGTGTGCATGCTGTGACGCTTCCTCATAGAGGACGGCTGGCAAAGAGGCCATTGTTCAAAATACTTCTTCGTCAAAGAATCTCTCGTAAGAAATATGAGTTGAAATATAAAATCTCAAAGTGTTTGTCATGTAAGAAAAAGTTATCGGTCGATTGTCAAAATAAGTAAAGGTATAAACATTTTTATTTTAACCAAGCAAAAGGGATATTGTGGACCCCGACATGCCTAGACACTTTCCATAGACATTGATTTTTATACTGTATATTCTATCCCCTGCCCTAAAACCTACCCATCACAGTAAACTTTCATTTTTTTATTTTCAAAAACATCACTAATATCATTTTGCCATTTAAAAAAAAGCTGTTTTGCTCATGGGGACAAATTTTGCTCAGGTCAAACATTTGATGTATTAGTGCACAACAAGGGGGTACATGAACCACACACACACACACACGTCAAATTGTCATAATTTATGGGAGGCTTTCCATAGACATAACGATTTTATACAGTACAAACTGTACACCTACCCATCACACAAAACTTTCTGCATATTTACATTTTTAATAAAACATTGTTTAGTATGTTTGTAAGTATTTTAATTATGATGACTCAAGAAATATTTTATCTATTTTAAAGAAGATGGTAATAAATAAAATATTTGATTATATATAAAACACTCAATATAAAAACAAACATGGCACTAAAAACAGCAAAACATTTACTACAGTTTTAGGTAACAATATATATGAAAAAAAAACATCTTACATTTTTCAGAGATCTAAAAAGTAGTTCCTTATGTAATGATGGTTCATACCTTTAATGAAAGGTTTACAAAAAATTAATTTAGTTTAAGTTATATCATAAATAAAAACTTAAAGATACTTACCTTGTCCATTGTGAAACTGATATGGGATGGGCGAGGGAGGAGATACAGACCAGATGTTAAGAAATAAATGTATAGCACATCCAAAACTTTCACTTAGAAAAAAGTGAATGTTTTGAATGTGCTACATTTATTTCAAAGTGTAATTTTGCTTTAAAGTTTAAATAAATATGGTCCCCTACTACTTCCATCCTATGGTTGAAATATTCTGACTGACCTGAAGTATAATTTGTATTAATCAGGTTTATTCCAGTTCTAAAACTTCAGATTGTTTAAAAGTTTAGATTCTTTAAAAGTTTCTTATTTCTACAAAGATTCAACCAGCGTTTTGCTCTGGTCAATATGAGGTATTGTAGCGGATTAGCTCATGGGGAAATATGAATAATTAACCATAACTAGTTATAATTAATTATTCATATTTTAGATCCACTGTAGATATTTAGCTGACCACTCAGGGTCAACTGTCTTGTCAATTCTAAGAACGTTAATTTCCTGGTTAAGGGAAATAACTTTCTTACTGTACAATTCTATAAACTTGTAACGTAAATCTGCATGATTATTGACTCCGGTTATGAGTAAACACTGAACACGTCAAGTGTGATACAAGTAAGGTTTTATTAACTACATAAACACTTAAACTAGTCTAACATACTACATAAACACATAGACTGGTCTAACATACACATACACACACACACACACACACACACACATACAGTTGGTATAGAAAAGGGTTAAAGTTTAACTCAGCATAGAAAGAGGCATAAAGAATGAATTTTATGAAACACTTTGCATATTCAACAGATCTAAAACCTGAGGGAAAACGTCAGATTCTTAGTTCAAACAAACCTTGTAAAAAGGTGTAACTGATACTTAATGCATCAATTAAATCGACTAAGTTTGATACTTGCGTATGTCTGAAAAAGATTCCTGATGCAATCTTAAGGCCCCAAGATCTTGCTGAAGTTGGTTGATGAAAAAGAGCTAGTTTGAGTCAGAATCACTTGATGAATAAAAAGGACTAGGCCGGAGCCTGGCACGAGCTTTGGTATCCTGGAGCATTTCTCACATCTTCATCTTAGCATCTCACTGAACCACCGAACAGGGCGGGTCACATGGAGTGTGGCCTTTTAAAGCCTGCAGAGATTCACGCCTCTCAAGATTGGTTCGTCCAATGAGGAAGGCTGAAATCCCAAGCGGGAGGTTGGACATACTGAGGATTTTTATGAGTCTTTGTCTGTAAGCATGGTATTTTGCATATGTAATTCACTTGGGTGTTGATGCAGAAATTAGTAATGATTCTTAGAACATCCATATGTTGCAGAGGTATCAGCATGTAATATGCACTCTCAGTTAGATCATCCGAAGACGAATTCATAGATACTAGACATGGTAGAGTTACTTATATGAATGAGTGGTTTATCGTAAGCATGAATAACAATAGTCTATAATACAACAGATTAAATACAACACAGCAATAATATACACAATGGCCTGAAGAAAATGGGTGTTCATTCAAAGAAGGTTTTCCTATGAATTAATTAGTAGAAAAGTCAGTTTCTCCTGTGCATTTGTGCCTTTCTTATGAGGAAAATGAGGGAGTTTATCCCCTGCATTCCTTTTAGGCCATAAAACCAGTGATATCAGCATTGGTTACCATGGAACCAGAGGCCTGTTCTGCTTTTCTGAGGTGTTAGGTGCATTTCGGGGGAAGGGTCCATAGACCCTCGTAATTGGCCATTTGGTTAGGTGATGGGGAGTTCGATATTATTTGTTAAATATAACAAAAAGTTGTGTGTCTGATTGGTCCAAATGCTACAGTATGCTGACAAAAAATTGTCGCATTTAGGTGTGTTTTAAAATATAACTTAACTATACATATTGAACTATCCTCAAACAAGTCCAATCATCAGAAATACCTTCTGCTGATGGAGATACATTTTTAATAATATTTTTTTCCTGTGTCCCGCAGTAGAAAATATCTCCACTGTTAAAACCTAGTATACAATATGTATTAAAACTATAGAATTAATTAATGGTGTTAATACTTTTGTCAAATTTTAAGGGTTCACATGTCTCATAGATTGATATGATTTTAGTTTTCCAACTTTTTCCCAAAATCTAATTTTGTACGTTTTGCATAACACTTTTTTTTTTTCCCAAATCATAATCTTGCTTTAAAGTTTGAATAAAAGGTTATTAAATGTAGCTTCATACCCATTGTTCTGAGAACTTCATAAAAAAATGTATTTTAGGGTTGGTAAGATTGTTATGTTTTTGAAAGAAGTCTTTTTTGCTCCCCAAGGCTGCAATTATTTGATCAAAAATACAGTAAAAACAGTAATATTGTGAAAATTTCAATTTAATCTCTTTGAGTATATTTTAATATATAGTTTATCCCTGTGATAGTAAAGCACATTTTTTAGCAGCCATTACCTTAGTCTTTATTGTCACATCATCAAGTTTTATAGAGGTTTTTTTCTAGCCATATCTACTCCATATCATCCATTTTTATGTCAAATACATGAATATAATCAATTCATTAACACATTAACACAATATAATCAATTCATTAATTTTTGGGGCATTTCTATCATACTGACCCCAAACCTTTGAACAGTGTTGTGGATGGCTGGCTGGCTTGATGGATGTATGGATGGATGAATTGATTGATTGATGGATGGGTGAACTGATTGATGGATATATAGTTTTGTATGTGTATGTTAATCATCTGATGGTTTTCCTGTTTCTGTGGCAGATGAACTTTGTGAAAGAGCAGTTTGGAGACACTCAGAGGGAATGGGTGCTGCTTGTGTGTATCGGAGCGTCGTCTGGAGTCGGTCGACTGCTGTTTGGGAAGATCGGAGACCTCATACCTGGAGTAAAGAAAATCTACATGCAGGTACAGAAACCCACAGGAACTGCTTACTGCATGCCAGTGAATCATAATTCCATAGCTCAAGAAGTTTGTTTCTAGGGCTGCTACAAATGAATATTTTGATAATCGATTAATCTAACGATTATTGCAACGATTAATCGACTAATCGTCACTTATTTCACTGATTAATCACTAGTTTCTGCAACTTTCATGCTACAGTGGGGCAAAAAAGTATTTAGTCAGCCACCAATTGTGCAAGTTCTCCCACTTAAAAAGATGAGAGAGGCCTGTAATTTTCATCATAGGTATACCTCAACTATGAGAGACAAAATGAGAAAAAAAATTTCCAGAAAATCACATTGTAGGATTTTTAAAGAATT